TTGTATTTGATTTTCTTTTATTAAATTTTATTATTTTATTTTTATTTAGGTTAAATCATTTACTGAAATTTTTAAACAATTATGTGCTTGCAACAATCCAGATTTACAATTTCGAGCATTTTATATAATTCGTAATATAGTTAAAACTAATAAAGAACTTGGAATACGTATTGTTGAAACAGAATTAATGGATATTTTATTTGCTATTAAAGAAATTAAAGACGATCGTCTAATCAATGAAAAGGTATGTTAAAATTATCGATTACATCTAGAGACTTGCAGAACAAACTTTTTTTCGAATCCCATTTTATTTTCAAAATATTCCGATTCTGAATATCTCATGGGGTCGTAACAAATTTAATTCGAAATTGTTCCATAGGACTTTAGTTATATTAAGTTTTAATATCATTCAATAAGATGAAATTAGACATGTATCGGTATCAGTATTACTGATACTTTTGTCGGATATTTATTAAAATGCTACTCATCATTTTTTAAATAGCTTTCAATCGTTTATAGAAGAAGTTCTTCATAGATATCATCTGTTTCGTTGTCTATTTCTACAACTTTTCGTAACAACCTAGACTCAAATTATATCAACGAGAATCGTATTTACCATGAAATTTCCAGATTTCAGAACACTTCTCTTAAAGTATAAACCACGGTAGGAATGAAAAAATCGAGCAATTATATAGGAAATACAACACTCTTCGGGCTACATTTTGTCATAATTTAAGTCTAGATTGCTGTGAAGAAGATTATATCTATGAAGAACTTCATCGAACCTAATGAATATTACATAGATATGCGTCTCGAACACTACTCTATCTAATGGCGAAACCTTGACTTCGGATAGCTATAAAAGATTGAAAGTTATTCAAAAAATAGTGATTAGGATTTTAATAAAAATCCGACATTAGTTATAGGACTGGGCGAATCATTTAAAGAGCTTTATAGAATCTTTTATAGCTAAAATCTTTTGACTTATTTTAACTACCATTTAATCTAGAATAGTCTGGACTACAAAATAATTTATAAAATTGTATTAGCTTCATAAGCTCAGCTATATAATTTTAGAAATAACTGACTTGAGTCATGGTTTTTGTAGAATATAGTTGAATCTAGATTAAGTGTCACTAAAAGTAGATCAAAAAATTTTAGCTGTAAGAGTTTTTATTAGAACTGTTTAAATGAGTCGTGCAGTCTTGACTATTAGTTATTATTTACATAATAACTTTTGTCGATAGGATTTTTCGAAGAATTTTATAAAAAATCAACTTATTCAACACTATAATGCAATGTTACATTTAAGTTACTTTTCTCTTTGTCCAATTTATTTCACTGAGGATGTATAGTTTCAGTTTATTGACCATCGGCTCAGTATAGATGGTACATATCGCTTCCAAAAAGGCATATTTTGATAGAATTGATCTTTCAATGTTGCAGTATACATAGAATTTACACCAACATCCACATCCTATCATTTTTACTTAATAAACAAAGGTCAATTTTATATACGACATTGATATATCCTAATGATAATTAATCGTTTTAATAATTGTAAATAATTAGTAAAACTAATTTGGTCGATAATTTCTTTGTTGATTATATTCAGTGAAATTCAATATAAATTACTCAATAGATTTTGTTTAAATGAATTGAACTAATCATTATTAATGTGAGTCATGAATTGAATTTTTTAAGTTAGTTGAAAAGTGTAGAATCAATCAGGTTCTATTACGAAAACTTTCGAATGTTTCAAAAACAAAAAGAATCATAAGATTTTAATTTGATCAATGTTATTTTTTTTGGATTATTTTAGAATCGTAAAATAGCTTCGGATATTGTTGAACTCTGTTTAAAATATGGCCTTATTCAACGAAATAAAGATCATACAATCAAAGAAGAAGATGAAACTACAGTTACGAATTAAAAAATAAAATAAAAATTTACAATTTCATCTTTTTTTTGTTTTTATCTATAATAGTGTTATTATACAAATCTTCTTTTTTTTTCACATATATAATATGTCTTATGATAGATCATTAATAAAATACATTCCTATGTCTTTTTCAGAATAATATAAAATGTCAAATACTCATCCAAAATCTGAATTGATTGTACCATCGGCATCAACTTTTGATCCAATTAATTTAGAATCCGAAATTCTTCAATTATGTCTTCAATTTCCTAATGGTGTTAGTAATAAAATTCTTGAAAATTCATTTCCTAATATTACATTAGAACAACGTGTTAATGCTATAAATCGTCTATTGGCATTACATAAAATTGATTTATTAACATCTTCAACAGAACCAGGTACATATATTTATCGTATACGAGATCAAATAAATAAATCAAATTCATCAATATCAATTGGTAATGAAATAACAGATCCAATGGAAAGAACAGTTTATCAAATAGTTGAAGAAAGTGGAAATTTAGGTATTTGGATGCGTGATATTAGATTTAAAGTAAAATTATCTCCAACAATACTTAATAAAATACTTAAATCATTAGAAAGTAAAAAATTAATCAAAGCTGTCAAATCAGTGCATGCTAATAAAAAAAAAGTAAAACAAAAAAAGAAAATTTCTATATAATAAAAAACAACTATAAGATTTTGACTACAAAACGGGATGTATGTAAGGTGTCAGCAATTTGAGTAAATCTTGTTTTTGACATATTCAATGTATTTGAGAAAAATTAGATTAAAAAATATCAGAAAAATTAATATACACGTAAAGTATCAAGTCTCGACAGTCTCAATATTTATCCAAATATTTCTTTTACTTTAAGTTCTGATGGTCAAAATCGTTGAATAGAAGATTAGGTATTTTTTAGAATTTTCTTGGAAACTCATGTACTAACATACAAGATATAGAAGATATTGTGCATGCATCCGTGCAAGATTTCCTATGCTAGTACTGAATCGAGTTTTCGTGAATACTCTTAGGATGAATCATATGAAATAGAAACTCGGATTTATGGTATTTTGTGCTATCAGATTGAAAAAACCGATTTTCTCAACAATCAAACAATATTTATTTGAAAAGCATGCATAATTTTTTTTTCATAACTGTATGAAGGGTAAAACCAGAAGAAATATTAAGGCTATCGAAACTTGATACTTTTGACGCATATCAATTATTCTAATTTGTTTTAATCTAATTTTCCTAAGTTCTACTGCAAAAGTATTGTTTGAGTATGTCAAAAAACAACATTTCTATAGGTAAGTTAACGAGATCTATCCAATTATGACAACAAATATAAAAGCCTACATGTATTTCTTTTTGTAGTTAAAAATCATCGGAAACTTTATAGTTATCGTTTATTTTAAATAAAAACAACACGATATTCTAGGTTTATATGTTATATGAATTAACACCAGATCCGTCTATTACCGGTGGTACATGGTATTCAGATCAAGAATTTGAAGCAGAATTTGTTAGAATTTTGAATGAACAATGTGCACGTTTATTAGATGAACGACGTGAAGAATCAATAGAAAAATTTCCAAATGATCCGTTTCTACAACGAACAAGTTCATTTATGTCTAGTTCTGAACTTGTTTCAGTTATTAATCAAATGGGTATTTCTACAGTAACATTAACTGTACAAGATATCGAATCAATATTATATACACTTATTTGTGATGGAAAAATTGAAAAAATGATAGTAGCTTCAACGACAATGAATGCAAATGGAACTAAACAAAATTTATATAAATCAATTAAATCAATGATTGACTCAGCACCAATTGTACGAAATCCGTGTGGTATTTGTCCTATTTTTAATGATTGTCATGATGAAGGATTGATTACACCTAAAACCTGTATTTATTTAAATAAATGGCTTAATTTTTGACACATATCAGTGTTTTTGTTGAATGAGTATTATCATTTGAAGAATCAACTGAGAATCAATGAATTCAGTACGCGTAATAGACAAGACCAAAGTTGGAATCAGTACTGAACTAGTTGGCTTGCCGGTCGCCGGTTCAGTCTTGAAAAAGGTGTGGGTGTGGAGTATGAGTGTGAATGTACGGATTGGGGTGAGTGTGAGTGTGGTTTCTACCTACACCCACGATAATAAAGTATCATAAGGATTGAAATACTGATCTAATCGGGGTGTGGGTGTGAACAAAAGCAGAACCCACACCCTCACTGGTTTGTCCACTTGATAGTATAAAACAGAAAAAGAACTGACAGTCAATCTATAATTTTTCGAAAATGATTATGTCAATTCTCAAACTGATTAGACAAGTTAAAGATTCCTATTTAGGTAGTTTTGAGTGCTTCTGTGCTTCTAATCGACTCACAACTTAGCTACAACACAAAAAAAGTTGATCGCTATAGAAGTCCACTGGGCTTCTATTCTGTTGAGAGGGGAGGAATTATTTTTAATTTAATTAGAAAAGTTTATGATAAATTTTATTAGATAGATGTTCCTATCAGCGACGTATCCAAGAATTTTTTTAGGGGGGGGGGGGGGCCCCCAAAAAAAAAAAGGTATTTTTTAAGTGGGGAAAAAAAAAAACCCCCCCCCCCCCCCCCCCCTTCAGGTATTAAAACATGTTAGGGGGAGATCGGTCCCCCTACTCTCACCCCTAAATACGTCGCTGGTTCCTATTAGAAATGATAATTTTCTCCTAAAAAACATTTTCATCTATCTATAATGATATATTAATCTTTATATAGAGCTATTACACGTAATTATTGAAATCTCTTCTGAAATTTTGGATAGTGGAAAAACGATTACTATAGAAAAAGATCTAAGAATTATTTATTCAAATGAAGAAGAATAACCAACATGCAACTTAGATGATCTTTATAATACTGAACATTTAACAAAATATATCGATAGTAAAAAGCAATGATTATCATAAACAACAAGCATATCGTTTGATTAATAATCAATTTACTAAACGAGATCATCTCAAATCAAAAAGTATTATTGTAATATTTATATTGAAAAGAAAAAAAGTTTGAATTTTAGATATGGTGGAAGTAATAATTGAACTTTCATCAGAACTTCTTCATGATGGTAAAACAGTAACATTCAGGAAAGAAGATCCTCATATAATTATTGCTAATTTTCCTTATCATCGTCGATCAAAATCTGAATCAGATAAAAATAAAATAAATAGATTTTATCTTATTGTCAATTCCAAAGCAGATTCATTTTCGTTAAATCTTAGACAACAAATACCGATAGTTCAACAATTGATTAAATAATAACAATAGAAGAATTTATGTTGAACAATACGTTAAATCCATCTTTGATAGAAAATGATCGATTATTACAGTTTCATATTCAATTCAGAGTGTGGATATGGATGCAAGTGTTTAGAAAAGATCCCACCCATGTCCACATCCACACACCCACACCCACACCCAGAGATACTATTTTATTTGTTAATATTAACGATTTAAATATAACTTCTCATTCAGTTTTTATTAATATTAACGGTTTCATTATCAGTCAATATTTAATATAAAATTAATGTCAAGAATTCATTCTTATATGATTGAACTAAATAGATTTTTCTTCGTATCTTAAACGTCAATAATCATCGAATTCATAATACATTAATTATTCATCATTTATTCAATCAATAATTTCTCTCTTTTCTCAATGTGTTTCTATTTTTTTTTGAATAAATTTCTTTTTCATACATTTATCCTTTCTTCTGTTTATTTATATACTTATTTAAAAAAAGAAAAATACGAGAAGACTTCTTGAATTAAAAAACTGATTATGTAAAATATAGACGACATTATATAATTAAAATTAATAGATAGATTAGACTAATCTGCCGTACAAGCCGGAAGGATAATTAAGCTAGACTGAAAAGAGATCACTCGATGGATTTTAAATTTATATCAATTCTATCTCTCAACTATACTTTGAATAAAAATGTGCAATATCCAAAATAAATACTCTCATTAGACTGAAACCTGTAATCATATCTGTTAGCTTTGATTAATACCAAATAGCTCGAATTCATATTGAAATAACTGACATAATTTATGGTCATTTCTAATAAGTTCTGATTCTAAAATCGAAATAAAAATTAGTTAGTCTTCAACTTCAATGCTCTGAGAATATCTGCCAGTTGATATATTCAGATATTATTACTTGTGTATAATAAGAAAATGGATATTCTTTCAAGATTAGATTTAATTAACATATGATACAAAAGTAACCAAACAAATGTCGGTCTTTGTTCTCTTCGATAGTAGACGGTTGGAAGAAAAATTTTTTAATATAAGATAGAGAATTTTTTCGTCTTTCGAATCATACAGAACTAGTTTTTATCGCATGTTCATAAATGAATCTGTGCAACAAGAAAAGTACCCTGAAAATGAATCCGCATTTTTTCTATAAGTTACAGCACAAAATATGAATCCTTATATCTCTTCGATAAATATCTTCTAGAAGGAATATTTTTCTATCAGTTGATAGGAAATTTTCTCCTCTGTCAGACAGTATATTATTTGTATTTATGATACGTTCGCAGATAAAATGAGACAAGAAAAAAGAGAAATACCCGTGCAATAAACTTGAGATGTTTTTGACAAGTTTATAAAGATGAAATTAATCACTGTTTCACAAGATCTTCCCAATAAGCCGACAGAAATAGAATTAACTGTTATCTTAAACTATGCTTCTGACGTGTTCATATAAAAATCTCAAATTTAGAGTGCAAATGCTTTTCTTTTTCTTACTCTCATTTTATTTACGAATGTATGACAAATATAAATACACTATACTGTTCGAAAGAGAAAAAAATGTCCTGTCGACTGTTGGAAAAATATTTCTTTCAGAACGTGTTTCTCAAGAAAAAATGATATAGGGATCAACATTTCTTGTCGTTCTTTTGAATCTCACAAAAAATGCAGATTTGTTTTAAGGATGCTTGTTATTCTTCTTATCTCATATCGTTTATGAACGTTTTGATAAAAATAAGTTATGTATGATTTGAAAGATGAAAAAATTCTCTGTCTTCTCGTAAAAAAGCTTTCTTTCAGCGGCCTTCTATCGATAAGAGATAAGGGCTGACATTTGTCCAGTGACTTTTGCATTATATGTTATCTTACGAACAATAAAAATTGAAAAAAAAGATACATTAAAGACACGATTAAAATAAGACATGCTTATTTTTTTAAATGAAATCACCATTTTAGAGCAAGTATACGACCAATGGAACAATCCGATTTCTTCTTTGGCTAATTATCAATTTGTTGAGTGCTTGTAAAACTTGCCGTCGAAATCGTTTCGAAGCTGCACAATAACAATAGAAAGAACTCTGAAAATCGAAAAAAAACTATTAATTGAAAAAAATAATATTGAAAAATATACCGCATTCATATTATAAGCATAAATGAAGAAAAAAACATTTGCTAATTGTTCTTGTGTTTGACGATAAATATTTTTAGTAATATTTGCTGTGGAAGTAAAATAAATTTGTGCAATCGTATACGGAGCTTGAAAAAGTAAGACAATAGAAATTGTGAATAAAGCCATTTTTATTGTTTGTCTATTAAAAATGGAAAGTGTACGTTGTTGATTTATATTAAATCTATGGATATTTCGATAAGAAAGATATCCAAATAAACTGATTATTAAAATTGGAATAATATTAGATAATCCTAATATAGTAAAATAACTTCGATATTGTGCATAGATTGTATTTGTTGTTTGACATCTCCAATTGGGTATTAAATTAATTTGTTGCATGAAGTAATATGGAGATTCATTACAAATCCAAATAAATAAAAATCCAAAAACTAAATAATGAGCTCTTCGAATAGTGCTTTGTTGACGTAAAATCGGATTTTGAGAAGAACATAAAAATGAATCAATTGATTGTAAACAAAGACAAGTGTAAGAACAAAGAGAATTTATATATAATAATGGAATACGAAATCTACACCAAGCTTCACTTGTCACAGCATATGAACGAAAACCTTGAATTATAATATGACCAATCAGACCAATAATAAGCGCATTTAAATCAAAAAATGATTTAGCAAACATATAAAATGAACATGCATTTGTTTTATAACTACTCAAACTAAGAAAAACAATAATATTCATAAGATTACCCACAATACCAACTATAAGTATTGGAAAACCAACTGCGAAAGCTATACATTTAGTAACTAATTGAAGTTGAATAATACTTGTATCATTCGAAGACATTTTTCATTGGAGAAATCTAGAAGATTACACAAATATATGTTTTTTTTTAAAATTTTTAATATGAAATAAAAAGATTTACAAGTCAACATGTCATATAAACACTAAGAAAATAATATCTTTCTTTTTTTTTCTTTCTTACTATGCGCAAATACTATTGGGACTTATTTTTACTTTTTCTAACAGATTAAATTAAAATGGTTTCGGTCGCGTGAAGGTATTCATAATGACGTCAAATGACTAATGAGCTTATGTTAACCTGGAGATTAGAGAAAAAAAAAGCTGTTCAAAACAGAAGACGATACTTTAACTCAACAACCTTAATAATTTCTACTTTTTAATTTTAAGATCTTTGATTTTCTCTAACTAATTCAGTTAGAACTTGACCGTTGCTTATAAATAATATAAGTTTTATGTAAGTAAAAAGAAAGAATAAAAAATCTATTTTAATTATTCTTGTTAGAAATACGTCTAACAGAATATATAATAAATATTAAAATGATAACTTCAATACAATGATAAATATATGTCTCTATTAGAAAAATTTCATCAACATAAAGATTAAAAACGTCTTCTTTTATTAATAAATATGCCATTAGAACTCTTTTACTTTTGTCTCCTCAATATACCTTTACTATTAAATTACATTGCAATTTTTTCACTAGAAGTTAAATAGATTCGTAATTATGAAAAGCATTCTCCAGAACAACATTACAAACGTCTACAGAGCGAATTTTATTAATTTGAAACAAAACGTTCTTATCATTTTCTTTTATGGACAATACAAAGAGATTGCGACTAAAATAAACAAAATAAAAGATACTCTATTAAAAAATTTTCTTGAAGACCTAAATGACGAAAAATTAGAATTAAATAAAAAAAATACTTCAAATGAATGGAGATTTTTCCCAAAATATTAAATTTCATTCTAAAGAACAGAAGAATATCTCGGTAATAGCGTGTAGTTATCAAGAATACATGAAGTAGTCTACGCATTAGGTCTATTGTAAGAATAATTGACATGAGATGCCTAATTCGAATTATAATACAAATGCACTTTCAGTAGTGCTTAATCATTTCGAAAATAACTAAGAAAATAAAATATACATGCACCCATTTAGATAAATTATTATAAAAGCTATAAATGATGAAGACTTTGCTGTAAAGTTAGGCAAAAATGTGGTTTTTTTTTGCCATTTATCATTTCTGATAACAGCTATAAATGATGAAGACTTTACTGTAAAGTTAGGCAAAAATTTTTACTTTTTTGCCATTTATCATTTATGATGAAAGCTACAAATGATGAAGACTTTACTGTAAAGTTAGGCAAAAATCTTTACTTTTTTTGCCATTTATCATTTATCATTTATGATAAAAGCTATAAGTGATGCAGACTTTACAGTAAATTCATCACCATTTATAACTTTTACCATAAATGATAAATGGCAAAAAAGTAAATATTTTGCCTAATTTTACAGTAAAGTCTTCATCATTTATAGCTTTTATAATAAGTGATAAATGGCAAAAAAAGTAAAAATGTTTGCCTAACTTTATATTAAAGTCTTCATGATTTATAGCTGTTATCAGAAATGATAAATGGCAAAAAAAATAAAATTTTTTCCCTAACTTTACAGTAAAGTCATTACCATTTATCGCTTTTATGATAAATGGCAAGAAAAGTAAAACTTTTTGTCTAACTTCACAGTAAAGTCTTCATCATTTATAGCGTTTATAATAAATGATAAACGGCGAAAAAAGTAAAAAGTTTTGCCTAAGTTTACAATAAAGTCATCACCATTTATAGCTTTTATTATAAATAATAAATAGCTAAAAAAGTAAAATTTTTTGCCTAGCTTTACAGTAAAGCCTCCATGATTTATGTTTTATAATTAACGACAAGTGACGAAGAAAAAGTTTTATTCTTTTGCTAACATGAGTGCTGTGTTTTTTTTTCGATCTCCATTTATATTATAAGCCGAAGTAGGCAGCTGCTCTTCGACGGCCAAATAAGTGAATAAATAATCGAGGGTGT